AAATTAAGAACTCTTGCTGGGTGTGGTGGCTCACACCTGTAATCCCAACACTTTTGGAGGCTGAGGTGAGTGGATCACCTGAGATTGGGAGTTCAAACCAGCCTGACCAACATGTAATAACCCCATGTCTACTAAAAATACGAAATTAGCTGGGCGTCCTGGCGCATGGCTGCAATCCCAGCTACTCAGAAGGCTGAAGCAGGAGAATCACTTCAACCCAGGAGGCGGAGGTTGCAGTGAGCCAAGATTGCGCCATTGCACTCCAGCCTGGGCAACAAGAATGAAAATCCGCCTCAAAAAAAAAAAAAAAAAAAAAAAAAAAAAAAAAAAAAATCCTCACCAGAATCGTAATGACAGGACAGAAAAGCCCCTACAGTGCGACAGAGCCCACCGGCCACACACCTGACGGGGGTATGTGCAGAATGTTTTTGGTTGTTCTTGAAAATAGAAATCACCCAGCTAAACAGAAAATCGGCAAGAGACCAAAACCAGCAGAGGCTGAAGCAGGATGACCCGTGGCCATGTGCCAGACAAGATGCTCAGTCTCCTCAGTCACGGCCACTGTCCACTCAGCACCGAGGCTGAGTGCAGAAAGGTGTGCGCCCACAGGATGTGGGGCCATGGGGCTCAGTGGCATCACTGAAACAGTGAGAGGGACGGGCACAGATGCATTCCGGGACGCAACCTGAACGTGGCCTCACCTCCCTTGGGCCCTGTGCAGCCTGAAGACAGGCAGAACTTGGCTCATGGAGGAGCCTGGGAGGCCACCGGTCTTCCACCAGGACAGGCTGCGGGGAGAATGGGGCCATCGTGGGCAGCGGCAGTGATGGGGGCCTCTGGAACTCAACGGGCTGAATGTATGTGTGTTTGCAGCCTCAGTGTCACCACAGGAGTCAGCGAGGCCTGGAACCCCTCACACAGCTGCTGCAACCCTGCTGAGGCTCTGCCCACCCATGACACTCGGCCCCGCTCAAAGAAAAAGGACAGGGACAGATTCTCCTTTCCCACCTGCAGTGTGTGGGACTCCCAGGTGGGGGTGCATGGCAGACACAGACCAGGGTCCTCCACACAGGGAACTCTCCTGAGAGAAGGCCACCCAGCTGCACTGGCCCCAGGTCCCAGGCCCCTGCTGAGTCTGCATTTTCTGCTGAGTAAACGGACCGTGGCTCTTTCTGGGTGTGGACTTTCTCCCTGTGGATCTATAATTTCTCAGAAGTGGAGCCGAGACGACACCTGGAAAACGATCAATTCTTGATAAAGGGAAGGAGGTGACACGGGGGTGGCTTCCCACAGCTCTGCGTATGGGGTAGGGCCCAGGAGAGCTGCTGCCCCCCAGCCCAGCTCTGCCCCCCGCCCCCTGTGCCCCTGCCGGCCGCTTCCCTGGACGCATTCCCACTGCCAGGCGGTGGGGTGGGGGGGGGGGGTTGGGCCCACTGACACAGGGGCGGGGCTTGCAGGGACTTAGGTGGGAGGGGCTGCACCTGTTCAGGCCCTGCTGGAGGCAGTGACCAGCTGGGAAGTGGTCTGAGCAGGTGGAGGGGAACCAGGGGCCACTGTAGGCAGGTGGAGACAGAGCCCAGGGGTGACCTCGGACGTGGCCAGGCACATGTTCCTGTGCCCTCTGTGCACACAAGTCACTGTGGGGCGGCCAGGCCCTCACCAGAGGCGGGCTACAGCAAGGGGCAGGGGGGCTTGTCTGGGCCACCAGACCTGGCTCCCACCGCCGGGCCACCCCCATGCCCTCCCCGAGGATGGTGCAGGGCAAAAGCAAACAGGGGCTACCACCCTGCCAGGCATTCCTAGAAGAGGCTGGAGGCGGGGCAGTGGCGAGACACCAGTGCCCCGGGGTCACGGGAGAGGCAGGGACAGGCCTGGCCCTGGACAGCACCCTTGGCCTGGATCCCAAATAGCTGCTTCCACCCAGGCTTTAGGGAACCCCCGGGAGGAGGTGGACAGCTAGGCAGGGCACGGGGAAGGGGTGGTAGCCCCTGAGCCCCATGTAGCTGTCTGTTCAGGCCAGGGGTGGGGTCAGGACCCCAGGAGCTGCCTGGGGGGCCCCTGTCCACAACAGGAGCTGGTAAAGCCCTGGGCTCCCCAAAGCAGCCCGAGCCCCAGCCCCTCCCAGGCTGCTCCAAGGGGCCCCCACTCCTGCCCCGCTGCTCAGCCTTCCCCAGTCAGCCCTGCAGGGGGCCCGGGTACTGGCCATCAGCCCCCAGAGCCCCACCACAGCCCACCACGGGCCCCGACGGAAGCTCCCTCACCCACTGCACTGTCTGTACCCCAGGGCTTGGGGCAGATGCCAGGTGCCCGGCAGGAGGGGGTTAACAGAGTTGGGGCCAGCTGGGCTGGGCCAGCCAGGTGACAGGCGCAGGCTGCCCCACAGTGGGGAAATCCAGAGGGCAGGGTTGGCCAGCGCGGCAGACGCACCCTCCCTCGCTGCTACCTGTGGCCTGCCCTGCACTCGGGATGGCCCTGAGGAAAGGTGAGCCCCCCAGTGTCCCCAATACCTGCCCTGGGGGTGGCCAGACCATGACCTGAGTCCACTGGGAGGGGCCGGGTGTGGTCCCCAGGGAAGCTCTGCAGAGCTCAGCTCTGGGGGTCTTGGGGGGACTCCGGGGAGCCCAGGGGGAATGTGGCTGCTGGGGTTGGGAAGGGGACACAGCTGTGCCTGGCACCAGAGGGTCTCCATCCTGTTCTCAATCCTAAGGGTGCTGGCAGCGGTGCAGGGAGGAGTGCCAGGCATAGGCTGGGCAAGCAGGAGCCTTTAGCTCCCAGAATGGCGGGCACAGTAACGGGGGAGGTGCCCCTCACACCCTGCATTGTGGGCCTGGCCCAGGCAGGAGATGGTGGCTTCTACCCCACTGTCTTTGTGGGGTGCTCCCTTGCGGCTTCTACCACCCCTAAGCCTGAGCTGAGCTCTAGCGCTGTCTCAGGCCACCCCCAAATGATCGTGACAGAAGGGCATTTGGGGGGCTCCACCTGACTGCACCCACCACCATCGCAGCGATCCCACACTCTGAGGACAGGGTCAGGCCATGCTGTAGAGGTTCTGGGTCACTGCTGTTTGGGAGGTTGCTGGCCCTGGCCGGGTCTGTAGGGCCTGTGGCACCTTGTCCTGAGAGGCAATGTGACCCGTGGCAGCCGAGGCCTGAGTTCCTAACTGCCCACCAACACTGGTGCCCAGGTCTTCTACACAGCACTGGGCTGAGGCCTGGATGCAGGAAGATGAGACCCCGCTGAGGGGGCCTAACTCGGGCAGAAGGTGCCTAGACCCCTGTTCTGCCTCTGAGAGCAGCGAGTGAGTGCCCACCCAGACCGACTTGAAAATATTCTGAAAATGGCCAGACCTGGGCCCACGGCTCAGCTCCCTCCCCTTCCTCCAGGCCAGCGTGCAGTTGCCACATGGTCAGAAAGGCCCAAGCCCCAGCCTGGCTGAGCCCACGTGGCCTGCGTAGAGATGCAGAGCCAAGCCCTCGGTGTCTGTGCAGCCGGGCGGGGCGGCCACTCCACCGTCCCCTGGGGTGGGAAGCTTCTGAGCTGGAGGACCCGGGGGGCTCACCGGCTTCTTCGCGTCTCGGGGGTGAGCTGGGGTCTGCGTTTGCACCCGAGTGCCGCTTTCAGCTGTTCTGGCATCAGCCTCACAGGGCAGAGCCTGCCTTGGGCTGCCTCCCCAAGCCTCTCCCCCCGCAGGAGACCTGGCCCTGGCGCTGCTGCTGTCCTGGGTGGTACTGGGCCCCTGCAGCCTGGAGGGAGCAGAGCCCGGAACACCGGGGGACCCCGAGGGCCCAGCGTGCCCGGCCGCCTGTGTTTGCAGCTATGACGGCGACGCAGAGGAGCTGAGTGTCTTCTGCAGCTCCAGGAACCTCACACGCCTGCCAGACGGCATCCCGGGCGGCACCCAGGCCCTGTGGCTGGACGGGAACAACCTGTCATCCATCCCCCCGGCGGCCTTCCAGAACCTCTCTAGCCTGGGCTTCCTCAACCTGCAGGGTGGCCTGCTGGGCAGCCTGGAGCCGCAGGCGCTGCTGGGCCTGCAGAACCTGTGCCACCTGCACCTGGAGCGGAACCAGCTGCGCAGCCTGGCTGTGGGCACGTTTGCGCACACGCCCGCGCTGGCCACGCTCGGCCTCAGCAACAACCGCCTGAGCCGGCTGGAGGACGGGCTCTTCGAGGGCCTCGGCAGCCTCTGGGACCTCAACCTCGGCTGGAACGGCCTGGCCGTGCTCCCCGACGCGGCGTTCCGTGGCCTGGGCGGCCTGCGCGAGCTGGTGCTGGCGGGCAACAGGCTGGCCTACCTGCAGCCTGCGCTCTTCAGCGGCCTGGCCGAGCTCCGGGAGCTGGACCTGAGCAGGAACGCGCTGCGGGCCATCAAGGCCAACGTGTTCGCGCAGCTGCCCCGGCTCCAGAAGCTCTACCTGGACCGCAACCTCATCGCCGCCGTGGCCCCCGGCGCCTTCCTGGGCCTGAAGGCGCTGCGCTGGCTGGACCTGTCCCACAACCGCGTGGCCGGGCTCCTGGAGGACACGTTCCCCGGCCTGCTGGGCCTGCGCGTGCTGCGGCTGTCCCACAACGCCATCGCCGGCCTGCGGCCCCGCACGTTCAGGGACCTGCACTCCCTGGAGGAGCTGCAGCTGGGCCACAACCGCATCCGCCAGCTGGCCGAGCGCAGCTTCGAGGGCCTGGGCCAGCTCGAGGTGCTCACGCTGGACCACAACCAGCTGCAGGAGCTCAAGGCGGGCGCCTTCCTCGGCCTCGCCAACGTGGCGGTCATGAAACTCTCCGGAAACTGTCTCCGGAACCTTCCCGAGCAGGTGTTCCGGGGCCTGGGCAAGCTGCACAGCCTGCACCTGGAGGGCAGCTGCCTGGGCCGCGTCCGCCCGCACACGTTCGCCGGCCTCTCGGGGCTGCGCCGGCTCTTCCTCAAGGACAACGGCCTCGAGGGCATTGAAGAGCAGAGCCTGTGGGGGCTGGCGGAGCTGCAGGAGCTGGACCTCACCGCCAACCGGCTCACGCACCTGCCCCCGCGGCTCTTCCAGGGCCTGGGCAAGCTGGAGTACCTGCTGCTGTCCCACAACCGCCTGGTGGAGCTGCCGGCGGACGCCCTGGGCCCCCTGCAGCGGGTCTTCTGGCTGGACGTCTCGCACAACCGCCTGGAGGCACTGCCCGACGGCCTCCTGGCACCACTGGGGCAGCTGCGCTACCTCAGCCTCAGGAACAATTCCCTGCGGACCTTCACGCCGCAGCCCCCTGGCCTGGAGCTCCTGTGGCTGCAGGGGAACCCCTGGGACTGCCACTGCCCCCTTAAGGCGCTACGGGACTTCGCCCTGCAGAACCCCCGCGCTGTGCCCCGCTTTGTCCGGGCCGTCTGTGAGGGAGACGACTGCCAGCCCCCCACATACACCTACAACAACATCACCTGCGCCAGCCCGCCCGAGGTCACCGGCCTCGACCTGCGGGATCTCAGTGAGGCCCACTTCATGCCCTGCTGACCGGGGCCCCTCGCGTGGCTTACCCTGTGCAGGGGACAGGTCCTCTGCGTCCTCGGGGCCTGGCAGATATCCGGCCCCGTGCTGTGCCCTTGCTGAAAGACAGAAGGGCCTGACTGGGGTGGGAGGCGCGGCAGCCTTCCCCCGGTGTTATCAATTAAAGGCAAACACAGTTGAATCTAATGGGCGCAGCGCGTGACTGCAAGCGTGAAATCAGGGAAGGGGGCTGGGTGCGTGGCACACACGTGGGGTCTCAGAACTTTGCAAGGCCAAGGTGGGCGAATTGCTGGAGCCCACGGGTTCAAGACCGGCCTGGGGAACACAGGGAGAGCCCATCCCCACAAAAAAATAAATTAGCCAGGCATGGCAGCCCATGCCTGTGGTCCTAGGGAGGCTGGGACAGGAGGATCACCAGCGTCTGGGAGGTAGAGACTGCCATGAGCCCAGATTGTACCACTGCACTCCAGCCTGGGCGACAGAGCAAGACTGCCTCAAAAAAACACACCTGGCTTAGGGGAGGGGAGGGTGGCATTGTCTGGGTGCGCCTTGGTATCCTCACCTTTGCCCTGAGGGGCTTGGCCATGCCCAGAGCCCCTGCCGGGACACAGCCCCTCCACTTCAGTGGCCGACCGACCCCCTTGAGTCCTCCTGATCCCTGCGGCTGCCCCCCGGGTTCCCCTCAGGAAAACGGCACCAACTCGAATCCTGGGAGCTCCACAACTCACCCCTCCTCTTCAAGGCATCGCCCAGAGGACCAAGCAGCCAGTGCGCGGCTGAGGTGGGGCAGGCAGTGAGCACAGGGCGTGGCGTCAGTCTGGCGTGGGCAGCCACCCCTGCAGCAGGACCCCGGCATCCTCCCACCTACCTAGGGACGGCGGGGTTGGTTCCTGGCCCTCACCTCCAGGGTCCTCCCCTGCTGAAGGCCCAGCTCTTCCTTTGGGAAAAATGGCACGTTCTGCTTTCTGGAATGGCTTTCCTTCTGCGTCTCCCTGAGAAGAGCTGCAGGGGCCCCTGCGACTCAGAGCTCCCCTATCCCCCACCTCTGGTCTCAGTCCCTCGGAGGGGCCCCCGCAGTGTCTGGGGGGCTGTTCTTCCATGGCAAAGCCACTGGGTCTCAGGTTTATCATAAAATCTCTCTGAACTCCCACGAAAGGAACAGGGGCTGGCTGACAATGGAGCTAAGGACTCACCAGCCCAGCCCAGGAAGACAGAAGCGGATGCCGTCTGACCCCTAAGGACAGAAAACTCTAGAAGCATCAGACTTGTAACCATGGCAGTGCATTTAATGGCACGCTCCTCCCACTTAGAAGACATGTCTGAGGTCAGTTCACTCCCTTAGGAGGCACCTCCCCAGCTGAACACAGACCACAGTGACCCCAGGCTGCTGGGGACCTGGGGCCCCGTGAGGCCTGCAGGAGTCCCAGGGGCTCTGTGACTGTGTGGACACGCGGCCGCGGGGTGCAGGTGGGAAACGTGAATGGACGACGCCCCAGGCCGCCTGCCACATGGCCCCAGAGCACCCGGCCCCGAGCTGCCCTCTCAGCCACAGGCCATGCAGGCAGAGCTGCTGACGCCCGACTCCTCCCTGGGGCAGGGCTGGCTGGGGAGACGCTCCCCTGATCACGATGCCTGGGCCTGCCCCTGCAGGGCCCGGACCTGAGCCCAGGCCGCTCCGTTGCTCTGAGAAGCTGGAGAGAGTCCTCGGTGGCTCTGGGAGGCAGCTGCAGGGTGGCCTTAGTCAGGGAAGGCACATGGGTGTCGTGTCCAGGATCTTCTGGGCTATGGAGCTGAGCGCGGCGAAGGCGGGGCTCCCAGGGAACTCCTGGATGAAGTCATGGCCCTCCTCCAGGCTCCTCGTGAGCTCAGGGTCCAAGGGCACAGAGCCTGCACAGCACAGTGAAGCCAGGGAGGCGAGGGCACCGTGTTCACACCTCCCGCTCCCAGCATGGGCTCGGCTGGACAAAAGCAGACACCATCCGAACCACCCGAGGCCACAGAGGGGGCGGAGGTGCTGCCCAGAGGCTTCCACCTCCGGCTGGGTCCTGTGGCCCCTGAGCATGCCTTGAGAAGGCCGAGGGTGGATGAGCCACAGGTCACAGTGCTGCGTGTGGCCTGAGGAGAGAGGAGGAAACAGCTCCCGTCCCCTCCTCCCCTCGGGCGCTGGGGTCACAGAGGTCAAGCCCGCCCAGGGCAGAGGCTGTGGACAGGGAGGCCGGGACCCCAGCACCAGGTCAGGATACTCACCTAAGAAGGGCACCCCAGCAAGCCGGGCCAGCTCCTCCCCGCCGCCCCTGGAGAAGACGCTGATGCACTCCTAAGAGAGGGTGGTGAGCCCAGCGCCACACAAGGCCCCACCCGGCCTGCCTGCCACCCCCGCCATCAGGTGCTGCCTCGGCCCTGCAGCCCCCGGGGCTCACCGCGCAGTGTGGGCAGGTGAAGCCACTCATGTTCTCCACGATCCCCATCACCCGCAAGCCCGTCTTTCTGCAGAAGGTCAGCTCACGCCTCACATCCCCTACGGACACCGCCTGCAGGGTAGGAGCCAAGGTTGCCAGTCGGCCAGGCTGGGCCAGGTGCACAGGCAGGGACACTGGCCCAGCCCACTGGGAAGCTGCCCACAGGGGCTCCGGAAGGCTGGCGGTACCTGAGGTGTAGTGACCACAAGGGCCCCCAGGGGCTGGTAGGGCCTCAGGGCTTCCACAGTGGCCATGTGCTCGTCGGAGGTCCCCGGGGGCGTGTCCACCACCAGGAAGTCTAGCTCCCCCCCAGGCCACGTCAGACACAAACTGCTTTATCAGTGCTGCAAAGACAGGGCTGTCAGGGCAGGGCAGGTCTGCACATGCGGCCCCACGCTGCTAAGAACTGGCCAGGTCAGACTGAGGGGCTGGAGCCCAGCATGCGTCACCGGCCACCAGCCTCCATCACAGGTTCTTGGAAGGTCCCGGCCCACTGCAGGAGCCAGCCAGGCCCTGACCAGGAGCAGAGATGGGGCCAGGGCCATCTACAGCGTATCACCCCTGCCCACAAAGTACGTGCTGACTCCCCGAGGCCCCAAATCAGAACACGGAGCCAGGACCCTCGGGGGTCTGTACCCACAAGTGGGAGTACTCACATTCTCCGTGGCAGACACTCCACAGGTGCACCCCAAGCCTGTACCTCACTCCCACCAGCCTCTCCCTGCTCCAGAGGCACCAGAACCACCTCAGCTTTACCCCCACGACCTCCCACATTGGGGCCTCAGATCCCTGCATGCCATGGCCAGGGTCTCGGCAAGCCCACCCCTCTGGCTGCGTGACAGCATGGACTCAACTTAAGCCACACCACCAGCCAGAGTGCCGTCCCTGGTCGTGGTGTCACGTGTGGGTCCCCAGGCCCGGCTACTAGAAGGGAGCATTTCCACGGAAGAGGCCAGCACCGACGCTCACCGCCTTCCCCAGGACAGCGGCGCCCCGCCCATTATTACCGTTTTTCTTGGGGCCTCTCCACACCACGGCCTCGTCCGGCTTCTCCAGCAGGAAGCCCACGGACATGAGCGAGATGCTCTGCTCGCGGTCCAGAAAGACGGGTGCCCAGCCGCGGTCGCACTGGTGCACGGCCCTACCCTGCGCCCCGAGCATGCGGGGGATGCTGGGGCCGCACAGGTCCACGTCCAGGATCCCCACCTGCAAGGAGCAGCACAGCCTAGGCCAGGGGCACTGCCAGGCCTCCGAGGGGATGCGGGCGGCTGCCCGGGGCACCGCCCAGTGAGGGTCAGGGCGCTCACCTTCTTGCCTGCATGGTGCAGTGCCAGGGCCAGCTCCGTGGAGATGGTGCTTTTCCCAACGCCCCCCTTTCCCGACAGGACCAGGATGATGTGCCTGACGCCGGCCAGGTTTCCAGGCTCTGGTCAGAAGCACGAGGAAGGTCAGGGCCCCCCGCGCCCACTGTACCCAAACACACGGGGTTGCCCAGCACCTCCCGCACCCACAGCGGAGTGGTAGGGAATGGCCAGACCCAGAGGCAGCCCCTGTCCCGTATCAACCCGATGTAAAGACCTCCAGCCGGGTGCCCTGCAGCCCCAGCCCAGCGAGCGTCCCTCTAAGACCACTGCACTTCCTGCACCTGCCTGAGGCGGCGCTGCTAAGAGCAGAAAGTGCCAACGTGCCTCTCAGTGCTGGCAAGGGTGATGCCTTCCTTCATGCGCAGGTGTGTGTGCAAGCTAGCAAACGTGAGCGACATGATCATCAAACTGCCAGCCCCCCGCTATTTCTAACGGGAGGCAGAAGAGACTCCACTCTTTCCCCAGCCTGTGCAGCCGGACTCAGCAGAGGCAGCACAGGCTGCCCTGAGCCTCCAGTTCTCAGGAGGGACGCTGGCAGCTGAGGGCCCAGGGTGGCCACAACCATGCGTCGCACGTCGGCGACCCCTGGCTCTCGGCCCTGCAATGCGCGGTAGGTGAGGGCCGCCGACCACTCCCCGCACAGCCCTGTCCCCCAGTTCCTCTTCCTTCCAGGGTCTCATCCTGTCCCTGCCACGAGGTAGGGTCTGCTGTGTGCAGACACTCTGACAAACCCCTGCCTTCTCCCCTCAGCGCCACCGCTGAGGCTACGCCCCTTGTATCCAGCAAGCTGCTCCATCCCTGACAGGTCCTCGGAGGACCAACGCCTCCTCCTGACCCACCTCTCAAGAGCAGGTTGAGAGGCTCCCAAGTCCACAACCTCCCAGGGCAACCTGGCATGCAGGCAGGTCCTCGGACCTACAGAGCCTGCCTGTGGTCTTCGCAGAAAGGGCAGCCCCACACTCCCGCAAACACCCAGCCCTGAGACCAGGGCCTCACGGTCACCCTGGAAGCAATCAAAGAGGTTCTGACGTAAATCACTTTTAATACCAAGAGATACTGGAGGTGCACTGTGCAGAGCCTGGCAAGCATGTCTGCGGCTGCCGGGGACCCCGTGAGGCCTGGGTCCCGACTGCCAGCGGCCATCAGTGCTAACCCCCGGGGGCTCTCCTCACTGGCAGACATGGGGACTGTGACCATCTGGCGAGTTGGGCTGAGCACCACTCCGGGCACGGACGCCAGTGTCAGGCAACTGGGAGGGGGAGGTCCCTCCCAGACAACAACCCTGAGGGTTCCCCAAGAACAAGAACTTTCCACTTCTCAGCAAACTGAAACAGCTCCTAGGCAGACACCCGGCAAAGCGCAGTCAGTGTGGGCCTGCCGGGTGCTGCAGCTGTGACCTGCCCGGACTAGGCCTTTCGAATTTTTATGTGCCTATTTTCCCCACGTAAAGAAAGCTTAGGGCTGGGCGCGGTGGCTCACGCCTGTAATCCCAGCACTGTGGGAGGCCAAGGCGGGTGGACCCTCTGAGGTCAGGAGTTTGAGACCAGCCTGGCCAACCTGGTAAAACCCTCCACTAAAGACTTAAAAAAGCAGCCAGGTGTGGTGGCGCATTCCTGTAATCCCAGCTACTTGGGAGGATAAGGCAGGAGAACTGCTTGAACCGGAGAGGCGAAGGTTGCAGTGGGCCGAGATCGACAATGTGCCACTGCACTCCAGCCTGGGAGACGCGGACAACCTCTGTCTCCCACATCCCCAAAATATAAAAGCTTGGACTAGGTGCACTGACTCACACCTGTAATCCCAGCAGTTTGAGAGGCCAAAGAGGAGTCACTTCAGTCCCGGAAGAGTTTCAGACCACTCTCAGTAATGGAGTAAGACCCCATGTCTACACATCAAAAAGCTTCCATCAATCTCAGCAATAGCCTTACTCTGTAGTAACTTTCCTGATTAGAAAGTCCGGCTTTTCCAGGCTTCTCCTCTGGAGTAAGACTCCAGCGCTGGGTTTCTAACCTGTCAGGGTTGTGCTACCAGACCTTGCTGTCCGAAGAATGTTTTCCTTTTGGTCAGAACTCCAGGTCTCGCAGGTAAATGCGGCTCCCACTACTTAAGAGGGCCCGTGGTGCTCATCTGGCAAAGGGCTCATACCCACTGCGTGAATTCTGTCTGATGAAACTTTCACATTTCTAAAGGCTTAGAGCGCCATTTCCTCGAAGAACTAAAAGCATATGAAACGCTGGCTGCTGTCTTACTTTCATGACTATGCGCATATGATTTATTTAGAAACAGGGTGTCGCTCTTCACCAGGCTGCGGTGCAGCAGGACCAGGGCCTCGACCTGGCGACCTCCAAGACAGTGGGGCCCACGGGCGCCACCACTCCCGCCTGCAAAGTGGTGCTCAACACAGTTCCCTTTAAGACCTCCCCCTAGGCCGGGCGCGGTGGCTCACCCCTACAGTCCCAGCACTGTGGGAGGCAGGGGTGGGTGGATCACGAGGTCAGGAGTTCCAGCCTGACCAACAGGGTGAAACCCCGTGTCTACTGAAAGTACAGAAATCACCCGGGCGTGGTGGCGGGAGCCTGAATCTCAGCTATTCGGGAGGCTGAGGCGGAGGCTGCAGCGAGTCGAGATCACGCCGCTGCACTCCGGCCTGGGTAACACAGCGAGACGCCGTCTCTAAATAGATAAATAAAAATAAAACCTCCCCAATTCCACGACTCAGGTCTCCGGGGTCACGGGGTTTTCACATCGAAGCCGCAGCATGCGCGAAACGACCGTGTAGAGAAAACGCCCGCGCCGCGACCTCTGGCTCGGTCCAGCCACGGAGGCCGGTGATGGTCGCACTGGAGGTGCGCGACGCAGCGAGGCCGCCCCGGAAAGGGGCGCGGCGGGGTCCCAAGTGAGGCCCTGTGCCGGCCCCGCACTCACCCGCCGCCGCCGCCTCCATCCCGCCGCCGGCCGGAGCTCGCGGCTACCCGGCGCTTCCGCCCGCGGGCCGTCAGCCTTCCAACCAGAGCGAAGGGCCTTCTAGCCAATGGGCAGTGCGCGCCCGCCCCTGGATCCTCTTGATAGGCCTATTCCTGCCGTCTCAGCCAATCAAATCTCTTCGGGCCGGTCCCTCAGATTCCGGCGCAGATGAGGACATGGAGGCGGACCTACTTTTGTGTCAATTTGGACTGCGGAACCGCCTCCCGCCGGCCGCCAATGGGCGCGCGGGCTTTGTCTCCAACCTCTTGGATGTTGACCAATAGAAATGTTGGTTCGGGATTGACAGATACTGAAACCTCTAGGCAGTAGCTTTGTCTCCTGACTCCCGCCCCCTTCTTCTGAAGCTCCTAGCCGGGCGTGCCCGCCCCTCGTCGCCGGAGCCAATGGGCGCAGGGGGCGGGGATTGTTTACGTCTCGCGCCTGGGCGGAAAGTGGGTCAGGGCCTGGCCGGCTGAGCGCGCGACGGGGGCTGCAGGTGAGCGGCGTAGGGGGGCGCGGGCCGCGGTCCCGGGCTCTGGGCGGGCGCGCTGACCTTGCGGGCGCGGCGGGAGCAGCGCGGCCAGGGCGCCGCCTTTGTTCCTCTCCGGGGCCCGCGCGCCCGCAGGAGGGGACAGCTGGGCCGGGCGGCCGCCGCGGAGGGCGGTTCCGGCTGCACCCGCACTCGCCTGGCGCTGGGCAGGGCTCGGCGGTCTGGGCGCCGCGATCCACCCAGCCTCCCTACGACCCGGTTCCAGCGGGCGTTGCCGGCCCCGAGCCCGGCGCAAGGGTCGGCTGTGGAAGGCGAGGCGGAACCCGCGGGGCGCAGCGCGGGGACCCCGGAGCCGGCGAGGGGCCCGGCAGGCGGCTGGGGACGCGCGGACCTGGCCCTCGCAGCCTTTTGCATGCCATGCCGGCGCAGCGGCCAGCGCTCAGCAGGTTTTCAGATTTGCGTCTCACGAGGAGCCTTGGCGGTAGCGAGCGGAGGGGAAAACGGGCTGCGCGGCCCTGGAGCGGGTGGCGGGAGGAGGATGCCGGCGGGCGCGGCGGCGGGGCCGGGCAGGAAGGGGAGGTGTCGGGCAGGGGTGACCGCCGTGCTTCTGGCATGAGGAACTGGAAGGCCGGAGATGCCGTTTGTCAAACTGGATGACGGAGGAGGAGCGAGAGGAGGTTTGAGATGCCTGCGGGACAGCCAGGTTCATGAGGTGGAGCTGGAGAGGGGCTGGGATTCGCAGTCCGGAGTCATGGGTGTCTGGGTGGCGTTTCGCAGGCTCTACCTAGGTTTTATTGAGCTGCTCAGATCCTGGAGTGAGGTACGGGCTCCTGAAGCGTTCTGGAGCCCTAGCTGGGCACCGGCGCCCCCCTGCAGTCTCCACCTTCGAGCAGGTCAGTGGCCCAGCCTGGAAGGAGTCTTCCTTTGCCCAGAGCCTGTGTTTTCTTACAGATTCTCTCCACCATGGCCAGACGCCCCCGGAGCAGCAGGGCCTGGCACTTCGTCCTGAGTGCAGCCCGCCGAGACGCAGAGGCCCGGGCCGTGGCTCTGGCAGGCTCCCCTAACTGGGGCTATGACTCTGATGGGCAGGTAGGTGCCAGCAGGTGAGGCGGACCTGGTTGGGCTAAGGTGTGGAGATGCCCTAGGCAGGCGGGCAGGCATTAGCTGATCAGGGAATCATAGGGAAACATGCTTTTGAGTCCAGAGCACCAGGCCAACCCTGGGCCTGTCTCCTGGGTGCACCACGTCCAGTGAGACTCTTCAATTTGGCAAAGGACACACAGCCTCAGGGGTGACATGCCTCCAAACAGACACTGCATCCTTCACTGTGCCCTCTCCTGGGAAAAGCATGGTGTATGGAGAGATTGGTATTTGCTTTTGTTTCATTCAACAGAAGCTCTCTGCTCTGGGGCTGGGCACTGCGGCTCACACCTATAATTCTAGCACTTTGGGAGGCTGAAGTGGGAGGATCACTTGAGACCAGGAGTTTGAGACCAGCTTGGGCAACACGGTGAAACTCTGTCTCTACAAAAATTTTAAAAATTTACCAGGCGTGGTGGCACGCGCCTGTAGTTCCAACTACTCAGGAGGCTGAGGTGGGAGGATCGCTTGAACTAGGGAGGTCAAGGCTGCAGTGAACTGTGAACAAAACTGCATTCTAGCCTGGGTGACAGAGCTAGACCCAGACTGGAAAAAAGAAAAATTCTTTGGTTTGCCCGGCCGGTTTCTGGGGTGATGACAGTCAGCTTGTTGTGTGTCCTTCCAGACGTTTATTCTGCTGGTACAAACACATATGCTGTTCACATATATGTGTATTAAAAAAAAATCGTTGGAGAAATTTCTGCACCTTCCCTGCTCAGGGAGGCCCAGGAACCTGAAGGTGGTCACAACAGCTCAGGTGTTTGTGGCATGGCTGGTCTGATATGCCTGTGGGCTTTGCAGGCAGAGCCACCTTTGGCCCCTGACCCCTGCCTTGATAGGCCCTGGGGGCAGCTGCCTGGCCTGAAGGGTTGCAGTGAGGCTGGGAGGGGTAGGGGTCCCGATAGGGGATGACTTCCCAATGGGTTTCCTGAGCTCTGCCTCGGACCAGAGCATAAGACTGGCTGCGCCTTCCTGCCCCACTTCCTGCTGCCGCAGGTCTTGTACCCTGGAGCAGTCTGTCCCCGCCTTGGAGGACGTGGGCGTGTCCACAGGCCAGTGTCTGACACATGCATGCTGCTTGTCCTTGGTCACCATGGGCTGTGTCCTTCCGGGGCTGCTGCTCGCGTGACCAGCACTGCTCTCTGCTGTCATAGCTGCCCTGTGCTATTGTTCAGGTTCAGCCAGGTGTCCTGGGAGGGGCTGGGCTCCTCTCTCTGAGTAAGGACTCCCTGAGCCCAGTGGGCCCACTATGTTTTGGGGGCATGTTGGGAAACAGGGTTTTTAGCCACTGGGTGGGCACTGTCCTGCACTCTCCTGAAGCTCCCTGCTCCAGCGGGGGAAAGGCCCCAACCTGCCTTCCCGCCTGCCTCTAGGTCATGTGGCCTGGAGCACTGTCCTGGGCCCACCTGGGCCACACAGGCTGGTGGCTGTGGGTTGCAGGCCTGCCTGCAGTTTGGGTAGTGTCTTGACACACATGTTGTGTGTCCTCTTTCACCAAATGGGCCTGCATATGTTGTGGGCAGGAGGCGGGTACCTCCCTTCCTTCTGCCAGAAGCTAGCAAGAGTGTAGCCTGTCTCCTCTCCAGGAAGCTTGGCCCTGGGCCTACAGTGCAAGTGGTCAGTTCTGTGCCCTGGCTGCTGGCTCCGTGGGCCTGCCCTGGCTTTCGGGACCCCCACCTCTAGGCAGTGGGGTAGAGTACTCTGCGCTTGCCTTGTCTGTGGGGTGGGGCCATCCCCTCCGGAGAGGACAGTGGCCTGGCACCTGAAAGCTGGTGGCATCCCATGTCATGGTTCCCTGTGGCTTCTGGGGGCACATCACCCTCTGGAACAGCTCCCAACCTGTGCCCTAACTGTCCCAAGGCCTATGCCACGGGGACGCCTCACTCACTTAGTGCTCTCCCTGCTGACCCCATGGTCCATTTAGCCCCTGGGTGTGACAGGGAGGAGGCTGGGAAGGGCGCCACCTCCCACAAGCTTACATTCTTGTTGGAAGAAGCCAAGAATCTGGACAAAGAACTTCAGACAAGCACGAGAAGGAACAGGAATGAAGGGTCTGGAGAAGCCTTAGGGAGGTGACATCTGAAGGTGGCATCAGGAGGGGCAGGGCCTGTAGTGGGTGCTGGGCAGCAGGACCCTGTGGTAAGGCAGGGTCTGCTGAGGTTATAGGAAGGTCATTGGGCCACAGTGTAGTGGGTGGCCAGGTGGCTGCAGCTGGGCCCGCTGAGGGGGTAGTGGTCTTGTCTGGGACCCCAGCAGGGCTGGCCAAGCAGGAAAGGTACCCACACCATCTCAGCTCTGGGCAGCTGGGCTCGGCTCAGGGCTCATCCCCTGTCTAGAAACCACTTGGAGGCCAGGCAGCCTTGAGTGTGCTCAGTAGCCGGGCCTCCAGGGCCCTCCTGCTCGTGCAGAATGGGGGAGAGCTGAGCCTGTTGTGAAGGAGACTGGGCTGTGCACTTGGGATACTGTGGAATCCTTGGAGGCCTGAACCCCTATCCTTTCCTGGGTGGGTGAGGGCCATGGGAGGAAGATACTTAAGCTGGGCTGGCAGAGGGCACGGGTGAGAGGGCAGAAGGTGGGGAACAGCTGGCCCTTCTCTCCCAGCACAGCGACTCGGACTCAGACCCCGAGTACTCCACGCTGCCACCATCGATCCCCAGCGCGGTGCCCGTGACCGGCGAGTCGTTCTGTGACTGTGCCGGGCAGAGTGAGGCTTCCTTCTGTAGCAGCCTGCACTCAGCCCACAGGGGCAAAGACTGCCGCTGTGGAGAGGAAGACGAGTGTGAGCTTGGGAGCCGGCCCCTGATGGGACAACACTGGCGGGTGGGCCTGGGGGGAAGGCAGGGCGGAGCCCCTTGGAGCTCTCAGGGCTGCCCCAGCCTGGGCCTCTCTTGCAGATTTTGACTGGGTGTGGGATGACCTGAATAAATCATCAGCCACCCTGCTGAGCTGTGACAACCGCAAGGTCAGCTTCCACATGGAGTACAGCTGCGGCACGGCGGCCATCCGGGGCACCAAGGAGCTTGGGGAGGGCCAGCACTTCTGGGAGATCAAGATGACCTCGCCCGTCTACGGCACTGACATGGTAAGTTGCCCTGGCTCAGGGTGCTTCTGGGGGGCCTGGCCCTAGCAGCCCAGCCCCACGCCCTCTGCCTAGCCTCCATTCCTAGATGGTGGGCATTGGGACATCGGATGTGGACCTGGACAAATACCGCCACACGTTCTGCAGCCTGCTGGGCAGGGACGAGGACAGCTGGGGCCTCTCCTACACGGGTGCGTGAGGCCCAAGGTGGGGCGGGGCCAAGCCTGGGGCTCCTCAGCTCACCCCGACCCTGGCTGCCCACAGGCCTCCTCCACCACAAGGGCGACAAGACCAGCTTCTCCTCAAGGTTCGGCCAGGGCTCCATCATTGGCGTGCACCTGGATACCTGGCACGGGACACTGACCTTCTTCAAGAACAGGAAGTGCATAGGTGAGGCAGTCACAGGACTTGTGCTCCTCCCAGCTGTCACCCTGGAGGTGGCCACCCCAGCTCAGTGGACACAGAGGTTTCCTGAAAGGCTTCGTCCCAGAAGCATGAGGCCCCGGGGTCCCAGAGGGTGGGATGGTGAGGCTGGGCTGGAGTGGCAGGGCCAGCACGTGCATGCAGGTGACTGCAGCGTGAGGCCTGAGGGGCTGCACCTGGAAGCTGGCCCCTTCCCTACCCAGGGTTCAGGCTGGGCCCTCCCTTCCAGGCGTGGCAGCCACTAAGCTGCAGAACAAGAGGTTCTACCCAATGGTGTGCTCCACGGCAGCACGCAGCAGCATGAAAGTCACCCGCTCCTGCGCCAGCGCCACCTCTCTCCAGTACCTCTGCTGCCACCGCCTGCGCCAGCTGCGGCCGGACTCGGGGGACACGCTGGAGGGCCTGCCCCTGCCACCAGGCCTCAAGCAGGTGCTGCACAACAAGCTGGGCTGGGTCCTGAGCATGAGCTGCAGCCGCCGCAAGGCTCCAGCGCCCGATCCCCAGGCGGCGGCATCGGCCCGCCCCAGCAGTCCTGAGCCCCGGCCCTGCCAGAGGAAGCGCTGCCGCCGGACCTGACCGACTTCCCAGTGGCTGCTCCCTAGGCTGCGACAGCCATTTTCTCTGTTCCTTCTGGCCACACTCCAGGGTGGAGTTGGATGAGCCATCTCTCACCTCCTGAGGCTGGGTCAGTCCTTTCTATGGGGGCTCCAGGGCCCTTCCACTGCTGTGCTGGGTGGGGAAGCAGCCACCCCAAGCCCCAGGTCTCCTGGGAGGCTGCGAGGAGAGCCTGGCTGGAGCCCGCTGTTCCCACAGGGCCTTCGTTGTTCCTAACTTGCTCTGCATGCTGTCAGCGGCAGCCCTGCCATCATAGACCTAAGTGACTGCAATAAATGTAGAGTTGTTGTCTAACACCCCGTGGCGGGAGCCAAAACATCCACGCAGAGGCCGGGCTTTTGAGCATCCCGGGCATTCTCCCAGGCCTGGCTGCCCCTCCACATCCGTGGGAGTCTCCTACGGTTTCTGGCTGAGGGTGCCACACCCCAAGCCTCCAGGTGGCAGTGGGGCCCTGGTGCTGCCTTCAGCCCCTGCCACATTGTGTGTGTGTGGAGGGGGGGTAGGGGAGACAGCTTTGCTGCTGGGCTCCCCTGTGTGTGCAGGGCTCAGCATAGGAATCACCAGCCTCTCCTGCCAGCTGCAAGCCGGAAGCCCCTCCTTTCATTCCAGCTGCCTAAAACTTTCCCTGCAACCACATACCCTCCCCCTGAGATCAGACCTGCCCAGCCAGAGACTGAGGGTCCACATGTGGCTGGGGTCCTCCCCACCACCCTGCAGGGTGTCTGGTCTGTTCCTAAGGCTGCATGCTGTTCTGGTGGTCCCAGATGTGGTCAGGAGCTCAGGTCCAGGAGGAGGTCAGGGTTGGCCGTGGTCAGGAAGAGGCAGATGCGGCGGGAGAGGTCAGGCCCCACCCTGCGGGACCGCCCATCTTCACTGGCCATCACAGGGAGGTCAGCTAGGAGGCGCAGGCGCTCCCGCTCCGTGCTGCAGGCCATGAACGCCTGGGGGCGGGCAAAGGCATGAGAGGACTTACCTGGGGACGGGGCCTTCACCTGCAGGACTGTGAGGAGGGAGGGGCCCACCTGTTGTAAAAGGCGCGGGGAGGGGAAGGCTGTGACCACAGCGTCAGCCACGGCTGGGCTGACCCGACTGAACTGCCTGATCTGCCTCCACCAGGCCCCGCGCAGCCCTGTGCCGTCTCTTGCCACCGGCTCACCCGCTGCCCAGCGCCCTACTGTGCAAAAGGAAAAGGCCTGGGATTCCCGGTACTGCCTGGAGACAGGGAGGGACAGAGAGAGGCCTTTGAGAGCCTGGGCACTCCTGAGCAGCAACCCAGTGCTGCTCTGCCCTCAAAGAGGCCGGGGAGGCCCCACTACAATGAGGCGATCCTGCCCCCTTCAGCCCAGGCGTCACGCACTTGAGGGGACACTGAGCAAGGGCCTTGGTGATGGCGCACACGTGCTGACTCAGCTCCTCCCACGAGGCCACCAACAGCACGTCCAGATTTGCCCAAAGCTGCAGGAGCACCAGAGCCTGCGGAGGAGGCAAGCCGGTGGGCATGAGCAGGAGGAAGGCTCCCCAGGACATGGCTGGTAGCTGCCCCACGTGCCAGGCTGGGAGACAAGCCCAGCCAGCAGCCCAATCAGTGGGACCCAGGCCACCTGACTCACCCAGCTCAGACAGACTCTCACCTCCTCCACCTCTGGCCAGCCCACGGCCAACTCCGCACCGGCCACCTGCAGGCTCTCTGGCTGTGTCCCACGGGGAACGTGCTGGCGAGACCTGAGCAGAGGTGACTGTCTCTCCGCGTTCCCCACGGGACCTGCCCTGCCCAAGCTCAGCCTCTGCCAGATCCCACCTGGGGAAGTGGCATCAGCTGTGCCACAGCAACCCCAGAAGTGTGCCCACCTCCCCTGAGCCCCCGTCCCAGGCACCGCTGTAAGCATAAGCGTGAACGGTACCACAGATGGGCATCCAGCCCGATGACAGCCAGGTGGGGCCGGGCAGTGATCTCGGGGGTGATCCAGGGCACCCAGCGGGTTGGGCCAGAGATCTGAAGATGACAATGCATGGTACAGTTGTTCACGGGAGGCTACGGCTCAGGGCTATGGGCCACCAGGCCACGGCCTGTTTGCAGAAGAGCAGCAGCCCTGAGAAAGAGCCAGAGGTGCCAAGAGGAGCCTCTGCTCCATTACCCCTTCTGGGAAAACCAGCTCTGTGCCTCCCATGAGGCCAAGGAAGCTAAGGAGACCCCCGGAATGGCTGCCTGGACATGTCTCAGTTCCACTAAGCCCCCTCATTCCTGGTCTACCTCCCAGAAGCTTTCTCCATCACACCCCAGAAACCTTTACGGTTATGGATCAGAGAGGAGTCCCAGCCTGCCCCATGTCCCTTGCAGCCCCATCTACAAGGGCAGGGACCGACAGTGCAAGCGCCTCCGGGCTGGGAACCCACACCTCCTAACTGTGGAGAGGGACTCCTGCCGCCACCTGAGTACCTGGGTCAGTGTAGCCACGCCCTGCAGAAACTCCTCCGGCTCCAGCAGAAGCAGCAATTCCTGTTCACCTGCAGCCCACACTTCAGGAGGCAGCTGTGGGGACAACGGCAGGCTGCCTGTCTCGGCCCCGGGTGCCCCAGAGGCCCTTCCTGGGGAGTCCAACAGCAACGTGGTTCGTAGCCCCAGCCAAGTCCAGGCCCTGCCAAGCCTGCTCTATGGTGTTCCCTTTCCTGTCAAGGGCAAGCTCGGGACAGGTCTCCACAGCCTCACTCAGGCCGGAACCCTCTCCAGCCAGCTAGGTTCTTTATCAGCAGAACGGCTTGGGCAGCTCCACTTCTCATCCTCTATCCTAGGTTTACCCATCCGCACTGCCCAGGGACAGCTCCAGGACTGAAAACAGTCGAGTCGGGGCTGGCCCTCGGGAACCCGCGACCACTCACGCTGCGGGGGCAGGGGTCGGGACTCGCTCGGGTCCACTGCAGGCTCCGCGCCGGGCGCTGGGGCTCGATGAGGCACTGGCAGCCCAGGGCCTCTAGGGCCTCCATCAGGACGTCGGCACCGGCGTCTTCCAGGAAGGCTGGGACCGGGGAAGAGGAGTGAGGTCACTGCCTCCTGCCACCCTCGTGGGCGCCGCGCCCTACCTGGCCTGGGGGCCCGGGCCGGGGAGTCTGCATTCGGCACAAGACCCCGACTGGGATGCAGGTGCCGCCCCAGGGCCCTCAGCGCGCGCGCACCGCCCCGTCGGACGGAGAATGCCGCCCGGCCGGGAAAGGCCTTTCCTACCCCGACCATCGCCCGCGCGCTCCGCCGCACCTGGGTCCACGCGCACCGCAAGGCGCCTCAGGACCTGCTCCGGCCGCAGCAGCCGCAACGCCTCGGCCGCCGCCCTGCGCTCCCCAGCTGGGTCCCGGGCTCTCGCGGCGGCCTCCGAGTGGGCGGGGCCCTCGGTGTCGGAGTCCGAGATCTCCCAGGTTGCAGGTCGCCGCTGGCCACTCCGGCCGCGGCGAGAGGCCCCCGCCCTCCCAGGTCCAACCCGCGCCATGGCCAGGACGGCTTCTCCTTTGCTTCCGGTCGCGCCCGAACACTTTAGCCTGGAACACCGGCCTCTTCCGGTGGCGGGCGGGCCTGGGGGCGCGCGGCGGCTGCAGTTTCCGGCCGGAGCGCTGAGGGGTTGGCCCCACCATGGCGCGGAAGAAGGTGCGACCGCGGCTGATCGCGGAGCTGGCACGCCGCGTGCGCGCCCTGCGGGAGCAGCAAAACCGGCCGCGCGACTCGCAGCTCTACGCCCTGGACTACGAGACTCTGACGCGGCCGTTCTCCGGACGGCGGCTGCCGGTCCGGGCCTGGGTCGACGTGCGCCGCGAGAGCCGCCTCCTGCAGCTGCTCAACCGCCTCCCGCTCTTCGGCCTGGGCCGCCTGGTCACGCGCAAGTCCTGGCTGTGGCAGCACGACGAGCCGTGCTACTGGCGCCTTACGCGGGTGCAGCCCGATCACACGGCACAGGTGCGTGCACCACGTCCGCACCCCTCTCCCGCAGCCGCCTGGTCTCCCCTCCCGGGCGGGCTTGCAGGGCGGCCCCGCCTCCCCTCCTTTCTGCAGGTTTGTGGGGCTGAGGCTCCCCCATCCTGACCTCGGAGGCAGAGAGCCTTGCGAGTTGACCCACTTTCCTCTGGCTTTGCAGAATTTGGACCACGGGAAGGCCTGGGGCATCCTGACCTTCAAAGGTAAGGCTCGGGAGAGCAGGTGCCCGGCGGTCATTGCCGGCCACCAATGGCACAGCAAATGTGTGCAGTACGCCTCTTTCCTTCCCCAGGGAAGACGGAGAGCGAGGCGCGGGAGATCGAACACGTCATGTACCATGACTGGCGGCTGGTGCCCAAGCACGAGGAGGAGGCCTTCACCGCGTTCACGCCGGCGCCCGAGAACAGCCTGCCCTCCGTGCCGTACCCCCCGCTCCTCCGGGCTATGATTCTCGCAGAACGACAGAAAAATGGAGACACAAGCACCGAGGAGCCCATGCTGAATGTGCAGAGGATACGCGTAGAACCCTGGGATTACCCTGCAAAACAGGAGACCAAAGGAAGGGCCAAGGGCACCCCGGTCTAGAACGCCAGAGCCAGCGGGTGGCCTGAGGGGCTGTGAGGCCGTGGGGACCTTGCTGATGAAAGAAACCGTCCTTGCGTTACACCTGAGTCCGCCCTCGGAGTTGGGAGTTCCCCCTCCGAGACGTGTTCTGACGGTCTGCATCGTAGTGGGGAGGGCTGGGGCAAATCGCCAACTGTCTTTCCTCTGGCCCTGCCGCCCCAACACCCAACTCGGAGGGCACGCTGGGGAAAGCGGGAAGTGCTGGTCCCCTTCCCCCATTGGAGCTCTTTCTGGTGGGATCCAGGCAGAAACTGTGAAAGAGAATAAACGGGGAAAGAAACGAAAGAAAACAAACAAGCAAAGTAAATAAAGGGGAATAAAAGAAGATAAACACAGGCCAGGGTTGTGTTTTATTTGCGCGCTCTCTAGCACCCGGGAGAGAAAGGCTGACGCTGTGGTAACGGCCCTGGTCTGGGGGCGCGGGCGGTGCGGGAGCAGGGCGTCGCGTGGGTGGAACCACCTGGTCGGGTTGTGGCGGGTACAGTTAGTGTCCGAGTCACTGGAGGAGACTTGGCCTCCACAGCTGCTCTCCAGCCCCCTACGGCTGCTGGGTTCCGGGGTGCAAGTGAAGCGAGATTCCTCTTGGTCGTCCGCGGAGGCTGCCGTGCCGGGTCCAGGCTCCTTTAAGCACAGGCCCCGCCCCAGGCGCCGCCGCCCCGCCCCGCAGAGCTCGCTCCCGCGCCGCCATCATGATCTGCTTGGTGCTGACCATCTTCGCCAACCTCTTCCCCGCGGGTGAGCGGAGCGGCGCGGCGCGTGCCGGGGTCGGGCGGGCAGTGCTGGGCCGGACTGACGCCCTGTCCCCGCCCGCCCCGCAGCCTGCACCGGCGCACACGAGCGCACCTTCCTGGCCGTGAAGCCGGACGGCGTGCAGCGGCGGCTGGTGGGCGAGATCGTGCGGCGCTTCGAGAGGAAGGGCTTTAAACTGGTGGCGCTGAAGCTGGTGCAGGTCGGGGCGCGGGGCGCGGTGGAGGGACGGGGTGAGCGGGCGCGGGGCGGGGACGTGGGGACGCTTGGGTCCCAGGCGCGGGCGCAGGTGGCCTGACCCTTTCGCAGGCCTCCGAAGAGCTTCTGCGCGAACACTACGCCGAGCTGCGCGAGCGCCCGTTCTACGGCCGCTTGGTTAAGTACATGGCCTCCGGGCCGGTGGTGGCCATGGTGAGTACCTGGGAAGCGGGCGGGCGGCCCCAGGACCTCCACCTCCCCGTGATACCGCCCCCGACCCGCCCGCACAGGTATGGCAGGGACTGGACGTGGTCCGCGCCTCTCGAGCGCTCATCGGGGCCACGAACCCGGCCGACGCCCAGCCCGGCACCATCCGCGGGGATTTCTGCATCGAGGTTGGCAAGTAAGGCCGGACCCGGGGACGGTCCCAGCCCTGTCTGGCCTGCGTGGGACCCGTGACCCAGCTCTCTTTCCTGCGCTCACGCGCGCCTCTTCCACTTAGGAATCTCATTCACGGCAGCGACTCGGTGGAGAGTGCCCGCCGCGAGATCGCGCTCTGGTTCCGCGCAGAGGAGCTCCTGTGCTGGGAGGACAGTGCCGGGCACTGGCTGTATGAGTAGCCCGGTGGGTGCGCGTCGCAGAGGTTCTGCGGCACCAGCCTCCTCCAGGGCCCAGGTGGCCAGGCTTTCAGACCCGCCCTGCAGCGCTTTGAACGTCCCTTCTGATGGGGTGCTGAACATCTGTCAGGACGTTGCATCGAGGGTGGCATGCGATCCCCGCAATCCCTGGCGTACAGGGCTCACTGCCCGAGACGAGTTGCTCCAGGCAAGCCTGCGCGGCTCACCTGGAAACGTGCCAGAACACTGTCCTGGTGCCCAGCCCAAAGTGGTCCAACATTTCTTTTTATAATAAAGTCCTAGTGTTCGTGTGGGTTTGGTCTGGGAACAAGCAGCTACGATGTTAAGACGTTTATTACATACAGAGCAGATATGTGGGTTTGCTTGCAGGACCAAAGCCTGAGGAGAATCGTCACCCCTCCCCCAGCCGCCCCATCAGTCAGCCGGGAGTCACTTCCAGATCCTGGGGGAACAGACGAGGGACCGGACATAATCACAGTGGAGGTGGCAGGGTGGTGGGGAGAAGCCGGCAGCGCAGCAGCTGCAGCCCGCGGTAGCCGGCTGGGCTCATGGGGCAGCTCCCCAAGATCTGTGCTTCTCTGGTTGGGGATGGGCAAGGGGCTGGGCTGCCCTCGTCGGGGCCTCCCGGACAGGAGTGCAGTGGGCCTGGAAGGTGGGAGTAGGCCAGCGAGGCCCGGCTGGGCAGGAGAGCAGTCCAGGGTAGCAACTGCTCCCTATGCAATTGGAGTCTACTGGAGGCGGCTCCATCCTCAGCTCCATGGGCCTCCGCTTGGTGGCCTCTCTGTTGCTCCTGGGGAACGGGCCACAGCGGGCAGCCCTAGGCACTTAGTAGCGTGTCTGGGAGCTGGGCTCTGTGGAGCCCCATGCAGGAGGCAGGCCCCAGGAGCACACCATCCCCCATCAACCTGAGGCTGAGCCGGCATCCTGGGACTGACCCCGGAGAGGCCAGGGGCCTCCCCTTCTTCCTGAGGCCTGGGCCTGCCCTGGCAGCCTGAGAAATCCCACCCTGGGGGCTTCTAGGAGGCACAGGACTCCAGGGCCCACTCCTCCAAGGAGTCTTCTGCCCAGGCAGAGCCTGAGGGCACACAGGTCAGAGCAGGGCTGGTGAGACCCTGCCTGCATGGACGGGATGGGGTAGCAGTCTTCTCAAGCAGTTGCCCTGGGGAGCTGGGCCTCGTGCTTTGATGCCAACTCCCTGGGCAGGGGACAGCCAGGATAGGGACAGACAGAGGATAGGGGCTTGAGGACAGGGGGGCCCCAGAGAAGGCCAGCTGGGGTACAGGCACCTGGGTAGCCTGAGGCCCACCTCCCTAGGCAAAGGCTAGTGCTTGGCCTGGTTCCCCTAGGCAGAGTGAGGGCCCAGGACGCAGGTGGGCCCGCAAGCAGCATGCAGAGGTGGGCCCAGGGCAGGCAGCCTCGGTGGTGGGGAGCCCCTGCCTCCTCTCCCGGGGTGCTGGGAAGTAGGAGGCCAGGGCAGAGCCAGGGCCACCTCAGATCCTGCCTGCGCTGGGCCCAAGGTGCCCTGGACTTGAGGACTCTGGGCTGGAAGTTGGCCAGGAGCTGCCCGGGAACAGTGTCCCGAGAGCATCTTCCTCTTGGGTGGAAGCACCCCCACCGCTCCTCCTCCCAACTGACTGGCATCCCCACACTCCCTGCCCGCTGGAGAGGGCCAGACTCAGGTGAAAGCTGCAGGTTGAGAGGTTAGAAAAGGGGCGGTGGCGCCTGGCTGGCTATCCTGCAGGGCAGGCGGGGTCAGGTGGGCAGGGGTCCTATATACAGGTCCGGCCAGGCAGGGTGGGCGGCCTCACTCTGGGGTGTAAGACACCTGCCACACGATGATGTGGCTGCGCTCTGCCTTGGACAGCATGGGCTTCACCTGGCTCACATCCCCCATGCCCTCCTCCGTCTCATCATCCTCTCCGTCTCCTGTGGGCAAGGCAGCAGTCAGGGCCAGGCTCCCCGCTCCCATGCCCAACCTGAGCCCTGTCCCTAGGGCCACTCACCGATGCGAAAATCAATGTAGCCCTCCCCGCCACTCAGCACCAGCACGTTCCGCAGCTTCTGGCCCTCGGCTTCTGAGGCGGGGGCGGCCGGCCCAGGGCCCTCGGCTGGGCTGTCCAGGACGCTCCCATTCAGGGTGGCCAGCACGTTCCCTGGGATGGCAGAAGCAATTCAGGATAGCAGCCTCCTGAGTGCAGCGGCAGCGGCCGCTGGCCTGCCGGGTGTGGACAGCAGCAGGGACCCAGCCTCACCTGGCACCGAGACGAAGAACTTGACAGCATCGCGGTGTCCGTGGAAACAGAGCTGCGCCTGGGCCATGGAGCAATAAGGGATGAAGCTGCTGGCTGCCCTGTCGCTGCTGTCGTCACCGTACACATGGATGATGCCCCCGGGGCGGGCGCCCTCCCCCGAGGTGGGGGACGTCTTATTGGCTGCAGGGAGAGAACCCAGAGGCGCTGAGCCCACACACAGATGGAGGGTGGGAGAGGCTCCTGTGGTGGGATGGGAGGTGGCCAGGCTTACCTCGGAGCCCCAGGAGCTGGCCTCGGTGCAGGACCACAGCTGGGGACATGGGAGGGGCAGGGGAGAAGAGTCAGATCAGCAGATGGGCAGCAGGCACCCTCCCAGGTGGCACTGCAGAGCCACCCCCTGGGAACTCATGGGCGCCTCTGGCAGCTCCACCACCCCTGCAGGGCCGCGGGCCACTCACTCTCTGTCAGGGGGATGGAGATGACCACTCCGTTGCCAGTGCCCACCCAGAGCCGGCTGCCTGCGACCAGCAGGGCTGTGATGCGCACAAAGGAGAAGCCCAGCTTGCCGGTGCCTGTTGGGGAGAGTGGTCAGGGTGGCTGGCCTTGAGCACCCTGCTGCCCCACCCACCTGGCGCAGCCTCTCACCCAGCATCTTGCTGACATAGGGCTCGATGTCCACATCCTGCAGGTGCTGGTGCGTGTGTGCGTGGTAGAGCCGCAAGGTAGAGTCCAGGCGGATGGACACCCACACCCCATCGCCAATCCATGCCAGCTGCCGCACCTGGCTCTCCCGCCGAGGGTGGGCGTCAAATGACTTCTGTGGGGTTATGGCAGTCCATCAACAGGGCTGGGGAGAGAAAGTGGGAAGCCCCAAACCTGCCACAGCCCCGGGGCCACCTGTGGCCCCCTCCAACGCCCAGCCAGCGCCTGCTTTGCCCCGTTAGAGCCTGAGTCACAGGCAGTGCAGGGGGCTGGGCCTCCTGGACTTCTGTGTGGAAGGTGTGGGAGCGCTGCTGGCCGGCAGAACCCCTCCCCTCCCCGGGGGGGCCCGTGCCAGCACTCACCTCAATCTGCATGGTCTTGGGCTGGATGACGTGCACCTTGTTCTTATAGCCACACCACACGCGGTCGTACACAACAGCCATGCATCGGATAGAGTGGTGCGGGTGGCCCAGGTCCATCAGATGATAGTTGCTGAGGTCCCACTGGCCATCTGTGGAGCCCAGATACCTCAGGCCTGGCCAGTCCCCACCTCTGCTCATGGCATCAGGGGTTGAGACACCCAGAGCCAGGCTAAGGAGAGGCCTGGAACCCCAGGAGCCCCCCCAGTCACTGGCAGAGCTGTCGGCTGCCACCCACATACCCCATGCCACCAGGCCCCACCTTCACCACGGTGGAAGATGGCAAGGGTCCCGTCTGCCAGAGCCACCAGCACGCGGCCTTTGACATGCCTGTAACAGGAATGCGGTGAGCCTAGTTTGGGCCAGGCTATGCTAGCCCCTCCACCCAGTCCCCCCACCCCCACCCCACCCCTGACGCCCGGCCCTCAGCCTGGGGTCACCCACACCAGGCTCAGCACGGAATCCTTCAGCTTGATGGAGTGCAGGCACTTCTTCCAGTTGGCCACAGCTGAGTGCACGTAGAGCCTGTAGAAGGAAGTGGCGGTGGGCAAGGCGCTCCCCTGGGACCTCCCTCCACCCTGCCCAGGGCCCTGCCTACCAGCCGTTCTGGGCCCCCAGCCACATGGTAGGTGCAGCACTGCTGCCTGCTCCCGTGGGGTCCCCGCTGGGCTCTGGCTCTGGCTGCGTGCCGCTGCTGTCAGGCTCTGGCCCATTCTCGCTGCGAGAAGGATGGTGGCTTGAGGCAGGCCACGGGGTGTGCACCTGCCCTAAGACCCTTCCCACCTCTGCCAGCCTTCCTTCTGCTGCTGCCCCAGCCTAAGAGCTTACCTGCCAGGTTGGGGGCCAGAGGGCAGGGCGGGGGCCGGGTCGGTGAAGACGTGCTCTGTGAGAGGCCCGGGCCGCAATGCAGCAGTCTCTGGCTCACTGGGCCCAGGGTCTGGTACCTCTGTGGCCTCTGTGGCCTCCTCTGTGGACTGGGACGGGTTGACCTTCCCGTTGGCGATGGCGGCCACCTCCCCTGTGTTAGGACAGGTGAGCTTGGGCTGGGCAGAAACGTGGGAATGAGGGGATGGGGAAAACTCGCCCGGGACTCACCCTGCCCCTTGTCCAGCACCGGAGTGTCCCCTCGGGAGGAGCAGTTGCTCCGCGGCACGTTGCAGCGGGTGGCACAGCCCACCAGGGTGATACCGGCCAGCACGCCATCTGCGCCCACATCCTCTGGGTTCACGTCGCTGTCCAGGAACATCTCCCCAGGCGGGTAATCACTGTCACTTGCCGCTGGGGAGAGGACGGCCCATCAGCCTGTGCTGGGGAACCCACTACTGCGAGGGTGTGCCTAGCACTCATACAGGGGTGGGACAGAGGAGTGGGGGCTGGTCTTCCGCTCCCCCAGCAGACCCAGCCTCCACACATGGCTCCACCCACAGCCCACCCAGGACTCTCTGCCTGGAGGCCTGGGACGATTTCAGCAAGCCTGCTCTGTTGGGTGGGCCCCTGGGCCGAGGCAAGCTGAGTAGTAAGACTCCCATCCTGGGAGCAAACAACTCATGATCCTGTGGCAGACCCCTAAGAACCCTCAGGAGCTCAGGGCCATCTCTACAAACAGCCCTGTGGTTTCACACCAGAGACCTAGCAGAGCCCTGGGCAGCCCTTTGTTCTCCCAGTGTTGGGGCTGGGCCCAGAACCTCACCAAGGCTATCGCCCTCAGGGGTGACATGAAGCCCCTCATCCATACCCCCTTAGTCCTTGGTGAGGCCGTGAGATTTCGGCCCAACTGGAGGTTTCACTTTCAGCATGAGGAAATGTTTTCCTCTAGTCCGAGTGATGCTTCAAGCTTCAGGCTGGACTACGGCCCACCCGTCGCTCTCTAACCAAGTAATCGTGGCGTGCAAAGTAGGAATAAAGGTCGAGGCCACGGCAGTGTTGCCCCTCCCACCGTCCCCTCACATTCCTGTGTCCACAGGACATCACAAGAGGACGGGTACTGTGTGGCAGGACTTTTACTGAGCCTCCTAGCAGAAGGGAGTGGTGCCCGAGTGGAAGCACCCGCTCCAGGCCACGCTCACCGGGGATGCTGGCGATGCACAGCACGTGCGCGTTGCAGACAGTGAACTGGTCCACCACGGTGCCTGGCTGGTTGGCGTCGATGATCACCACCTTGCTGGTGGTCAGCGTGCTGGTCAGGATCCACACCCGGCTGGAGGTGGCATCCATCTCGGGGAGCTCCTTCGACTGTTTCAGGGCGAGGGATCAAGCTCAGAGCCCCAGCCTGAGGCTACCCGACAGCAGTAGGGGCCGTGGGGCTCCTGGAATCTGTCAGGGTCCAGCCTTGACTTTAGCTTGAGGGAACATGGCTATCCTCCCCCACGGCCAGAACAATGAGTGTGGGTAACCCCCCATACAGGTACCAAAGAAGGAGAGCTAAGCAGAATCCTGGCACAATTAAGGCCTGAAGAGTATCTGTTATTTCCTTTTATATAATCCTTTATATACTCATATATTAGTTTACAGAATTAGGGCTTGGAAAACATGTTTATAGTGTTACTACTCGGTTATTTCCCTTTATATAATCCTCTCTATATAATCATGTCAGTTCATAGAGTGCCTAAGGAAAATTTTACCTCTCAGTCATTCCCCTATACATATATATAACTATATCTCAGTTCATAGTCGGAGGAGTGCCTAGAGTGGACACAGTACAGAGCATGAATTAAGGAATAAGCAGCTTATAGCCGGAGGAATGTCTGGAGCAGACACAGTGCAGAGCATGATTTCAGGGAAAACAGTTACACCAGGACAAGAATCCGTGGCCCAGGCGGCAGCGTTCAGTATCGGAAAGATACCCGCTGGATGGCAGGCTTGGGGTGAGGGCCACTCCTCCTGATAAAGGAGTTGTAGGACCTTGCTCCAGTTCTTGCAGAAGGCTGCCCTCAGAATGGCAATCCACCTTGGTGACTGAACTTTATCAGCTCTTGCTACTGTGCTGCTCGAAAAGCATCTTCCCATAGAACCCATTGGAAGCCGCCAGCAGGTGGCGGTAACCCTGGCAGCTCTGTCACTACTGTGTGACTTAAAGCATCCTCCATAAATCTTCTTAGAAGTAGCTTGCCCATAGATAGAGGTATTGCGCACTGCACCCTCTTCACTGCGCACGGCCCACCTTCAAGCCTCAGTGACCTAATGGGGGTGGACCCCTTACTGCACATGGCCCTTGCCTTCATGGGAACGGGCCCCTTGCTGCGCACTATCCACCTCCTAGCCTAGGTGACCTAATGGGGGTGGACCCCTTGTTTTATTGCTTACAACCCTATCACTAAAGATGATTTCACTCACTGCCCTGCCCCCTAACCTATACACAATAAACACTCATGCTTCTGGACATTCGGGGCCTCGCCAGCCACTCGCCGGCCTTGCCTGACTCCGCTCATAGGTGGCGTGGCCCCTCAAGCCCAGCCGCGTTTTCCTTGTACTTCTGTGTCCTGCCTCTTTATTTCTTGGATCCTGCGCCTCAGCACAGCATAAGGGACACCCCACGACCCTGTGGGGCCTTCAGCCCTACAAATAGGGCTCAAGACCGCACTCTAAAGCAATCCACACACAGTTTTCCCTCCACAGAGGAAGCCCTTAAGCTCCAAGAGGCCCAAGCTGGGCCATAAGACTAAGCCTCTGACCACTGGGAAGCAAGCTCTGCCACTCCTGGGCTCTATCACGCCTGCTGCCTGCCTGACCCCCACAGCTCAACCAGCGCAGGCCCACTCAGGCCCACTCCAGGCCACCGGCGGGGAAAGAGGGGAGAGGAGGTGAGGAGGCAAGGGGAGAGGAAGAGGAGAGAGGAGAGGGACAGCCACAGGGACCAAGACTGCTGGATGGCACTCCCGCTGAGAACCCAGGAGGCGGCTCAGCTCTGGGGAGGGAAGACACTGCGAACCAGGAGCCCCTGCGAGGCCCAGCCTCTGGGTGCTGTGCCCAGCTGTCCCCTGTCTCACTCCCAGCATGCTCTGCAGCTGAGCTGTCCAGAGACTACGTCAGGGAGGGTGCCCAGTGGCCTGAGCCATGCTCACCTTCTTCTTCTCGGGAGACGCATGGGCACTCTTGGGCTCACCGTCCCCTTCCCGGTCACAGGTCAGGGGGTCGCGGCCTGGCGCTGGCTTGACTCCATTCCCAACGTCGTCCTCACTGGGCCTCCACCCGCACAGGTTGACACCCGCGGCACACCACAGCTGAAAGGGCAGGGCCAGGCTCGGGTGACACCAGCGCTCTCCAGCCTCCCGTCCACCCAGGCGGCCTGAGCGGGTTCCTCGCGGGCTCACCTTCATGGTGGGGTCCTTCTCCACCAGAGGGCGGCAGTACACGGGCACCGGCACGTTCTTCATCCGCGTGTCCTCCTGGCCCCCATTGGGACTCAGCTGCAGGGAGCAGGGAGGCGTCGTGAGCCCGAGCTCTGGCTCCCACCTATCCCTCCAGAAACCTGGGTCAGGCTGGGCTGCTGGCTTCTGGCGGCAGAGCCACCTATGAAGACTCGAGGCAGGTGGGGGCGTGGCAGCCGCGGGACTCCTCCTCCGACCCTCCAAAGCCCGGCGCAGGAGGCTCACTAGGAACCTGCCCCGCCCGCCGTCCCCTTCCCACCTCTGGCACTGCCCCGCCTTCGCCCCGCCCCTCAACACGCCCCGCCCCCTTACCACGCCCATCCCCGCAGCGTCCGACCCGTACCTGCTTGTACTTGGCGGGCAGGCTCCAGCCGCAGGCCTGCAGACGGCCGTCGTCGTTACGGACGTGCTCACGCACCTGACGATACTGCTCGCGCTTCTGCTCTCGACGGGCGGAGGACGTGCAGTCGCTGAGTGGAAGAATGATGGGTGACGTCTCTGTCCAGGGTGAGCAGCAGCAGAGCAGCACGCACCCACAGTGCCCCAGGCCTGCCCTAGGGGAGGCCAAGGCAGGGAGGCCCGCCTGGGCCCATCCTTGCTTTTTTCTGGCCACTGGGTGCCCAGATGGCGAGGGTGGCTTTCCCAGCACCAGGCATGGCCATAGGCTTGGAGGCCACAGCTGGCACCTGCTCAACCCAGAGGCTGCTCTGCTGCCACAGCCACTGAGGGCTTCAGGGACCAGGACCCAGAGTGCCACCGGGACACAGGTGCGGCCAGTGACTCCTTGCTGGCTGTGTGCCTGAAATGGCACTGCAGCTGGAGCCTCAACGGCAGAAGAGCCCAGGGGCTACCGTGAAGCCCAGCACAGCTGTTAGTGGACACAGATATCCTGAAGTAAACACTGTGGAGCCAGAGCAGCCCAGCTCCCCGCAGTGGGGAGGGGCAGGCAGTGTGCAGGGAAAGGTCACGACCTCTGGCATACGGCAAGCGAGGTGGAGGCTGCCCTCAAAATCCTTCTTCAGGGCCTGGAGGAGAGGGGCCCCTGGACAGGGCCTCCTCAACCCCCTTGCAGGCCGCATATGGGGGCCAGAGGACACTCACTCATCGGGGAAGAACTCCAAGGGCCGGCTGCCCGCCGAGATCGGGCACATGGCGTGGCTGCGGCGCTGGCTGAAGCCAGCTGTGGTGGGCGACTTGTAGTGGATGTTCACTGAGGGGTAGGGGCGCTTGGCCGGAGGCGGGCTGGAGGAGGAGCTGAAGAGGCGGCTGAAGCTGCCGGAGGCACAGGGAGGTGAGGGGTTGGGCAGAGGACCAGAGAGCCTCCCTGCCCCCTCCCCTGCAGCTGCTGGCCACACCCCCCAGGTGCCCCCAGCTTACAACTGCCAGATGGTAGACTTCTTCTTCTCCTGGACGGACGGGTGCTCTCGGGAAGCTCTACAGGGGAGGGCACAGGGAGCAACGTGCTAGCACCCTCACGCCTCCCTTGCCTGGGCCTCTCCAGGTTCCCATCAGGAAGCACATAGCTCTCTTCAGTCCCCCCCAGAAGAGAGGGAGGTGCAGAGGGAGCTGCAGTCATGCTGACTGGGATGACCCCGCAGCCCCTCCTGGGGAGGCTGCAGCTCCCACCTGATCATCTCGGTCCACCGCACAGCCTCCTGCAGCTCCATCAGTCGCTCCTTGTACTGGTTCCGCTCCATGAGCACCCGGGCCATCTCCACCCTCGTGAAGCGGCGGCGCTGCGCCATGGGGATTTTGTCCTGCAGATGGGAGGCACACAGACTCAGCCAGCCCCTGGAGGCCAGGTCACACCTGCTTCCTCCTCGGGTGCCTCCCCTGGGGCAGGGGGCGTGGCCTCCAGGTATAAGTGGATCTAAGTGCCAATTTCCTGCAGTTCCTCAGGCAAAAAGTGGTGTGGAGGTATGTGGGTAAGGGGGGAGGGAAACCCTGCCAGGGCTGCCATGACATGCATGAGGTATGATGTGGGTGACTTTCCCTGCATGGCTTTGGAGGCCCCCAATGTATCAGGTGAGGTGCAGGTGGGCCCGGTCCTGTGTGAAATGAGCAGGCAGTTGACACTCTAAGAAGGGTCAGCCGGCTGAACACTTGAGGTTCTGACAGACCCGTGTGGGGTCTGCAGTCTGCTCCCTCCACCCAGGGATGCCCAGCAGAGCTGCCAAGGAATGACGAAGTACATGGCGGGTAGGCAGTGGGGTCCCCATATGGCCTGTAACACTCAGCACTTCCTGCTTACAGATGCCTGTACAGTCTCAGGCTATGACAAGGGGCCGAGGCCCAGGACGAGTGTCGCCTTCAGCTCCTGCAGGAGGGGCTGGGTGGGGGAAACGTGACTCGCCTTCAGCTTGTGTTTCTCCTGGACCATGGGGAGCACAGCCTGCACGGGATGGCCTGAGATACACAACCTCACTTTATCAACACCACAGCCCCCAAGTGACAGTCAGTGTGTGTGAAGTCGGCATCCTTCCTGGAGTAGGGCCTGCTCTCCTTAAGGAAGGCAGCCGCTGGCCAACTGACAGACAGCATTCCCTTTGGCCTCTCCCCTGAAAGGGGTGGTGGTTCTGAAGGTGAGGGCCTGCAATACCCAGGCAGCAGAGAGCTTGCCCTGGGGTCTCCCGGGCTCCTGGGGTGGGGTGGGTCCTGGGAAGGGGACAGCAGGAGACTGGCCAGGCTGCAGAGTCAGGGAGACCTGCTTGTGACCATGCAAAAGGCATGCACGAGGATGCTGACAGGTGAACTGGCGTCCCGCCAGCGCTATGGTCCTGCCCAAGGGCCTGGTTCTGACTCCATGTGATCTGGGGAGTGGGATGGCAGATGATGCCACTGGGGTCACATGTCATACAGGAGGGGCGGGAAGGCGCTGAGTCCAGAAGAGCTGGTGAGTCCCCAGGAGCCCGCCTGGCCCCCTGCCCGTGGCCCCAGCCCTGCATGTGAATAGTGGAATATACTGATTCTGAACAGAGACAGCAGATCTGGTGAGTCACTGGGATCCCGCCCCCAATGCCCATGCTCCGAGTGTGAAGAATGGGATATATGGCATGGGAATGGCCAACAGTGAAGTGGACTGCGTGGGAACGGCCAACAGTGAAGTGGACTGCGTGGGAATGGCCAACAGTGAAGTGGACACTGCGTGGGAATGGCGAACAGTGAAGTATACTGTGTGGGAATACTGACATGCACTACATGTGAATGGTGAAAGGTACCATGTGTGAATGGTAGGTGCCCTGCCTGTGAATGGTGGCCGCCCCATGTGTGAG